GCTTTCTCTTTCTTTTTGTTTCTTTCTCTCTCACTTTCTCTTTCTTTCCCTCCCCTTTTTCTTTCTTTCTCTCCCCTTTTTCTTTTTCTTTCTCTTTTTCTTTTTTCTTTCTCTCTTTCTCTTTCTCTCTTTTTCTTTTTTCTTTCTCTCTCTCTCTCACTCACTCACTCACTCACTCACTCACTCTTTGATTCCCTCTTTCCCTCCTCTTCCTCTCTCTTTCACTCCCCCCCTTCTCCCCCTCCCTATCCCTCTCTCCTAAAGGACTATAGCATCGTAGGATCCCATTTGCAGGCCATCTTGTGGTGGCTCTTTCGTCATTCCTCAGTGCTTGAAGATACGTAGGGCTCCCTGTCTCTGTCTGTCTGTCTGTCTGTGTGTATTTATCTATTTCCATCTCCTCTTTCATTTTCTCTGTCTCTGTCTCTTTATTTATTTTTATCTTTCATTTTCTTTTTTTTCTCTCTCTCTCCCTCTCCCACTTATCTTTTCCTCTTTCCCCTTCCTTTCTCCCTCCCCTTACTTCCCCTCCCTCCCTCCCTCCCTCCCCCCTACCTCCCCACAGGCACTACATCAGCTGTGGGCGTGGGCGCTGTTCTCGTCTCGTTGTGTGGGAACGAAACCCATTCCCCACACATGCAAAGTCCACTGTGACAACGCTGCAAGAGTCGTTCTTAAGGATTAGGGGTCGTTGGCAGCGCTGTATGGGTACGGAGACATATATATCTATGTGTGGGTGTGGGGGGGGGGGGTATATGTGTTTGTGTGTCAATGTGTGTGGGTGTGTGTTTGTGTGTGTGTGTGAGAGAGCTTGTGTGTGTTTGTGTGTGTGTGAGCTTGTGTGTGTTTGTGTGTGTTTGTGTGTGTGGGTGTGTGTTTGTTTGTTTGTTTCTCCATTTTTCTGGTGGCTGAGCTTAACCATTTTATTTCTTCTCTGATTCTGTTTGCATTCACTGAGCAGCAATAAAAATAAGATTAAGTATTAATACATTACTTTAGAAAATTCAAGATACTAGTTTAGTTTCACCTGCAATTAGGAAAGTGGTTCAAAAGTTGTTTAAGACACGTGGCTGGGCACCTTGAACAGCTGATTTGCAGATATTTCGCTCTTTATCCAAAGAAATGCGTTCTTTATTCACCCGAATATCATCATCAATTAACCATTTTAACACGGAAAGAGAAATAAAAAAAACATAGTCTTCCTTTTGAAATTGAAAGAAATCGTTTTATTCTCGTTTTCTACATTTTTTCTATATTATAGAAAACGGGAAGTAAGGCCAGGTAGGGTTATTGTTATGTTATTACAACCAGTTTTCGTGTGATGTCAGGCATGGGTGCCTTTGCTCCTGTTTCGACGAGGTATTAATATTCAGGGGAAAGGCAGGAGACAAGAGAGAGAGAGAGAGAGAGAGAGAGAGAGAGAGAGAGAGAGAGAGAGAGAGAGAGAGAGAGAGAGAGAGAGAGAGAGAGAGAGACACACACACACACACACACACACACACACACACACACACACACACACACACACACACACACACACACACACACACACACACACACAGCACAAGGGGAGCATGATGGATGAGACAAGGCATAACGCAACCGGTTTATAGAATGGTACAAGTTAGTAAAGGTTTTCCTCTTGGGTGAGGGAAGAAAGGGAGAAGGAAAGGGGAGAAAAGAAAGGGAGAAAAGGAAGGGGAAAGAAGAAGGGGAATTGAAAAGGCGAGGGAAAGGGGGAAGGGGGAATAAAGGGGAGAGGAAGAGGTAGAGAGAAGAGGAAAGAGTAGGAGAGAGACAGGCACAGACAGACAGACTGACAGACAGACAAGCAGACAGACAGACAGACAGAGACGAGGGAGAAACCAAAAACAGACAAACACGCACACACACACAAACAAACAAAATGCAGAAACAGATAACCCCCCACCCCCACCCCACCCCATCCACCCCACCCCCAAAAAAAAACGAAAGAAAAAGCAAAAGAAAAAGAAAAGGGAAGGGAGTCGCGGCGTCTAATTAGTGATAATAACCAGATTAGATTATTAATTAGCAATTAAGGTCGAGGCATCATCACAGACGCCGGAGCAGCCGAATGAGGCCACAGGGAAAGAATATTTTCATTTATAGATCACCATTAAGTGAAATGTATAAGTGGCAACCCCTCCGTCAGTATTATTAATGTTCTGTGTTGATCGTATTTGAATAGGAGAGAGGGGGAGGGGGAGAGAAGGAGAAGAGAAGGAGAGGGAGGGATGAAGGAGGAGAGGGAGAGAAGGAGAAGAGAAGGAGAGGGAGAAAAGGGAGGAAGAGAGGGAGGAATGAAGGAGGAGGGGGAGAGAAGGAGAAGAGAAGGAGAGGGAGAAAAGGGAGGAAGAGAGGGAGGGATGAAGGAGGAGAGGGAGGGATGGAGAAAAAGAGAGGGTGAAGGGAAGAGGAGAAGAGAAGGATAGAGAGAAGAAAAGGAAGAGAGGGGGGGAGAGAGTAAGGAAGAGAGAAA